GAGAGCAATGAATACTTTACCTGTCAGATTTACAGTGAAGAGAAGAATTTATGACCAAACAAGAGATAGAGGATATTAGGAAATGCAAAAATGGATGATTTTAATTACATTAAATTGTAAAGTTTTTGCACAAAGCCAATGCAACCAAGATAAGAAGGAAAGTAGAAAATCGGGAAAGAATTTTTACAACCAGTCTCTCTGATAAGGGCCTCATTTCTAAAATATATAGAGAATTAAGTCAAATTTATAACAATACAAGTCATTCCCCAATTGATAAATGGTCAAAGATATGAACAGGCAGTTCTCAGCTGAAGAAATTAAAACCATCTATAGTCATATGAAAAAATGCTCTAAATCACTACTGATTAGATAAATGCAAATCAAAACTACTCTGAGGTACCACATCACATCTATCAGAATGGCCAACATGATAAAACAAGAAAATAATAAATGCTGGAAAGATGTGTGTAAATTGGATCACTAATGCATCGTTGGTGGAATTGTGAACTGATTCAACCATTTTGGAGAGCAATTTGAAACTATACAGAAAGGCTATTAAAACTGTGCATACCCTTTGACCCAGCAATAGCACTTCTAGGGCTATATCCCAAAGAGATCACACAAACGGGAAAAGGACCTACATGTACAAAAATATTCATAGCAGGTCTTTTTGTGGTGGCAAAGAATTGGAAATTGAGAGGATGCCCATCAACTGGGGAATGGCTGTAAAAGTTGGGGGATACAAATGTAATTGACTACTACTGTGCTATAAGAAATGAGCAGGCAGACTTCAGAAAAACCTGGAAAGACTCATATGAATTGATGCCAAGTCAAATGAGAAGCACCAGGAGAACACTGTACACATAACAGCTACATTGTGCAAAGACTAACTTTGATAGCCTTAGCTCTTCTCAGCAATGCAAGGACCTAAGACAACTCCAAACGACTCATGATGGAAAATGCTATCCACATCCACAGAAACAACTATGGAGTCTGCATACAGGTAGAAGCATACCATTTGCTCTTTTTTTTTGAATTGTTTTGGTTTTTTTTTTCTCATGGTTCCTCCCATTGGACCTAATTCTTCTTTACAACATGACTAATGTGAAAATATGTTTAATGTGAATGTATATAAAGAGCCTTATCAGATTGCATGCTGTTTTGGGGAGGGGTGCAGGAAGGGAGGGGGAAAAAATTTAAAACTCAAAATCTTATGGAAGTGAAAACTAAAAATAAATAAATTTATTTTTTAAAAAGTAATACAGAAACCATTAAAGGAACAGCTATTTTATACTTGGTTCTAGAATTCATGATTGAGAAAGCCAGGAAAGCTAGAAAGTGGCACACACCCTAGATTTTAGGAGAAGATTTCTTCTTCAGAGAAAGGAAAGTAGCATTCCATGGCCTAAAAATTCTATAGAGAAAGTTATCCCAGAAAGAATGAGAAGCTCAAGAGGAAATTCTAAAGACAGAGAAATCATTCAGTTGTGGAAAAAAGAAGGAGTGTCTAAAGAACTATGCGGCTACCTATGGAACCCAACTATTCACTAATTTGGATTTTTTTTTTTAAATGTTCAACAATCACTACAATAACAATACTAAAAGGCAGTGAAATTGATGCACTGTCATAAATAATATCAATTCAGGAAAACTCATATTGAAACATTATTCTCCTCTGAGAAGAGGTGGAGTACGATATAAATGGAATATGGTACATGTTGTCACATGCAGTTTTATCAAGTTGGTTTTGTTCAAACATTTTTCTTTGTTACAAGGAGGAGTTTTAGCGGTGGTAGTAGGGTTTAAGAAGGAATGGCTATAGTCACTTTTCTGCAGAGACATGTGCAAAACAAAAAGCAACTTGATAAAAATTTTGTTTTTAAACAAAATGTACAGAACCTTAAAATATTGTTAGATATGGTTGAAGAGGCACTGTGATCAATGAAATATTGTAGGGAACAGAAGAACTGTCAAAGTACTGGAAGAGGGCAAACGTCTCAGTTCTTAAAAATGCAAGGAGTGACCTGCAAGTTAAAAATCAGTAAGTCTGACTTTAATTCCTGGCAAAAATTCAGAATGGTTAGTGAATAATCTAGAATAGCATCTGGTCATCAGGAGAAGTCCACCTGACTTTATCAAAAACAAGTCATGCTATACGGACCTTATTTTACTTTTTAACAGGGTTACTCTTTTAACAGGTTTCATGTAGGGAGGAGAGAGGGAAAAAGCCAGGTCAGAAAGCAGACTGGTACAATATGAAGCCCAGCACTCTACCAGAGCACACAGCAAGGGGTTGAGGTGGATTATATTTCTCAGCCCTACTGTCCACAGCGTCTTGTCCACTGGTCTAGTAGCAGATACTGAATCCAGCACAGAACAGAAAATCAGTGAAAGTAGCTCGAAGGAGTATGATCCTTGGAGGCAGAGAAGAGCCAACTGTAGATTCAAGGACTTGGCCCAGGCACTGAAGAGCAGGGCCAAGGGAATCCAATGCCCTGCTTGGTAGATCAAGCAAATATTGCAAGTATAAATTTACCTAGATTTTAACAAGCATTTGAAAAAAGTCTCATGTTATTCTTGCAGAGAAGATGGAGATGGCGAATAGATTTTGTGGATTCCTAACTGCCTTACTTACTGCCAGACCCCAAGAGTAGTCATTAACAGCTTGATGTCAACTCGGAGGGAAGTTTCCAATAAAACATCCTAGGGACCACTCTAGCTTAACATTTCAATCAACAAAATGCTCATCAAAGGTGCAGATGACATGAAGTTTAGGAGAGGTATAGCTAATAACAGTGAACAAAAAGTCAGGAACTGAAAAGAACTCGAATGACTAAATTGCTGGTTTAAATCTAATAAGATTACATTTATCCCTGTTAAATTTCAATTTTCATACTTATTTTCAAAAAATACTTCTTGAGTACATGATTGGAAAGGCAAGCTTAGAGTAAAATCTGTTTGAAAAAGATCAGAGGTTTTAGCAGACTGACAGTCCAAGGAATCAATAGTATAGAATGGCAGCCAAAGAAGTCTGACTTCTTTGCCCAGGACTGCATTGCCAGACCACACTTGAATAAACACGTACAGTTCAGCGTACCACCTTTCAGGAAGGATCATTGGAATGTAGACTTTGAGGTGGAAGGAAGCACACAGGAACCTGAGACAGAGAACATAGAGGGAAGGGTGGCCAGTACTGTGAAGGGCACTGAAATTATGCCATACCGGAACAAGTAGAAAGAAACAAGAATTTTTTAGTTTGACAATGTGAAGATTTGGACTAGGAAACATGATCACCATCCTCAAGTTTTTAAAGAGTTTAGACTTGTTCTCCTTGGTTTCAGAAGATAAAACTAGGAGCAACAGGACAGAAGTTACAGAGAGGCAGATCTGGGTTTGATATATGGAAAAATTTCCTAATAATCAGAACTATCAAAAGTGAAATGGGTATATATGTAATATAAAATGGATCACTCTACTCTCATCCCAATGCAGGTCTTTAAACAAAGGCTGGATTATCACTTACCAATTGCATTATAGAAGAAATTCTTATTCAAGGATGGTTTGGGTTATATGGCTTATAAGGTCTCTTCCAATTCAGATTTGATTCTGTAATTTGATGCTTCTAACCTAGTATGGGCTTTCAAATCAGACAACTAACAAACTTACAACTGTGTAGAACAGAACAGCCTGTGAGGAAAGGGTTAATCCTAATGTACATCAACCACTACTGTAAAGACTTCCTGACATCCATTTTTGCCTCTTAAGAGGCCTATGTTTGCTTACTTTTGGGTTCTCTGCTATATTCCACCTCATGGAGCCTGTTTACTAAGTGACTTTAAATAAGTGAGTTGTAAGTCAGAAAACAACTTACTGAATGTGAATACTTCCTCCAACAATGGAAGATTATTACATATACATATCCCTTCTTAATCCTGTTCAACTCTTGTCTATGTCTTCCTATAAAATCTTTAATTGAGTGGAGTTTCGTATCAAAATTACTTCATTCTTGGGATGAAAAAAGACGAATAGGATAAAGATCACAGAAACAGAACTGACACATTCAAATGTGGGTATGTTTGATAGAATTTGTGGAAAATAAAAACTAGGTTAAGGATTATTTAACAAATATTTTTGGAAAACCAGACAGCAATATGACAAAAACAAAAGTTGAATCTCAACTCATACCATAAAAAATTGCATCTCTATTACAGATGTAAACATACAAAAGTAATCGTTAAAAATGAAAAGGGGAACATTTTGTCTCAGTTGCGAAGGGCATATAAAAATCATTAAGTAAATGAGATATTGTGAGGAACAAGACAAACTGATTTAACTGCATGAAAAAATTATAAACAAAAAATACCCAATAATTCAATGGAACAAACATTAAGTGCTTACTATCTGCAAGGCACAAAAAGAAAAACAAAAAATTAGGAATACTGCATCAAAAATTATATAACAACTTAACAAATAGTAAAGAGTGATACTCAGTTCACTTTGCATAGTCAAAGGATAATTTATAAAAGTGAAAGCATGTCAGTAATAACCTGAAAAAAAATTCAACCTCACTACAGATCAAAGAAATACAAATTAAACAATTCCAGGTACTACTACATAGCTTTCAAACTGGTCCTACAGAAGGAAAAAAATATAACAAATATTGAGCATTGACAAAGCACAGGACACATAAGGAAAAAAGAGTAAGATGTTAGGGATATTTAAAGCGTTAAAATTCACAAGATTATAGATTTAGAGTGGAAGGACCTTCCACTGAGCCTAATCCCTTCATTTTACAGATGAGGAAAATGTGGCACAGAAAGTTTTACCTACCTTGCCCAGAGCCACATAATCAGTAACCCTCTGAGGTAGAATATGGACTCAGATTTCAAGATCAGTGTCCTATCTATAAGGCCTTACTGCCTCTACACAGTTTGTTAAGCACTTAGTTTTTAACAATCAAGTTATTTACCTTAAAAACAAACCTAAATTAAACAACTTACGATCACAAAATTGTGACATTTTTGACCATTCCACACCCTGGCAATAAATTATGTCTGTTTTTCCGGGTAGTTTAACATAACCAGTATCACATTTGTAAACTACAGAGTATCCAGGAACAAAGGTTTTATCAGCATCATATTCTTCTGGATGAGCATGAAGAATTACTGGCAGAGTAGCAGCACTACAATCACCTAAAAAAGAGTGATTAAATATTACAAACTATACATAATTCCAGTAAGAAGGAAGACATTCATTAAAAGAATCTTAATTATCTTTCTAAGAATACTGTTTTCAAATCCAGCCTCAGACATTTACTAGCTGTATGACCTTGGGCAGCTCACTTGTTTATCTCAGTTTCATCAAGTAAAAAATGACCATAATATAACATCAGAGAGGTAATATTTGTAAAAGTGCTTAGCACGGTGCCTAGCACATAGTAGGCACCATTGCTGATTCTCTTCCCTTCTTTTTCAACCATGACACCAGGTTTCCTCTCACCCTTGGCATAGGCATTCAAGAAACAAGGATTGATATAATATGGGTCATATCACAGTCAAAGCACTAACATGAGTTTATGTTTCAGGGAGGCAAAATGATAATCAAAATTTGATTTCAAAACCTCATTCACAAATCTCTAGTTACTTTTCTAGTGGTATTTCAATAGAAATAGCTCCAAGATTTGGGCTTTCAACTGCTGTGACAAAGTATGAGTTATCACTATAAAACAAATGTGGAGTCCTGAGTTCAGCCCTAATTATTTCCAAATTTTTTTCCAAATAGTTTTAAAAGGAAGGACACCCGATGAATGGTTGAGCCAATTGCGAATACTTTTTGTCCCCCATTTTGATTCAGTTAACCTCACAAAGGACTAGCAACTGTACATTAATATTAGGACTTAAGTAACTTCTCTCCCAACTCAGGAGCCATACAAGATAACATTACTGAGACAAACGGGATGCTCCATACTCTCTCAATAATATGGTTTGCTCAAAAACCCTTCAGGAGAAATGAGGATTAGTGCTAACCTACAAATAACTGTGTCTGAAAGACGTTCTCAAGCAACTTAAAGCAAAGATACCTAGCCCACTCAAGCATTCTGCCTTCTGTATATGTATGCATATGTGTATATATGTATATATACACACATGTATATATGTATAACTTTCCTTATTTCTGTTATGGTAGTCACGTGGTGAAACTACTTCGGTTATTCTAAGGATTCTTCCAGCGGCCAAAAACCTCCCAACAAAAACAAAAACAAAACAACAATTGGAGTGGAGAAAGCGTGGCGACACCGACTTCCCCTTTAGTCAATTTAAAGGCCACCCGCAGCGCCGGCCTCGCTATTTTATGGTCACACCTTTACAGATGCGCCAGCTCCATTATCCCTCGCATTCATTAGACTGAGGTCTCCAAGAGCCGTTTCATTTTTATCTTCAGCTCCAGTCACCAGCCTGGCACACAGCAAGTGCTCAATAAACGCTTGATTCGTTTTAATGGCTCGGGATTCCGTTTCCATAAATCAACAGCGTAATTGTGAGCATTATGAAAGCACTAATAGAAAGCGTTCCCCCGAGCTTGGACCACCAGAAAGGCTCGTCGACCGCCGACCAAGCCCCAGCTGGAAGCGAGCGCGGCTCAGGACCCGGGGCGAGGCGCGGTCTGGCGGGGAGGGACAGCGGTCTGGGTCTGCGGCCATTCCCCCGCCCCCCGCACCCTCGACCCCTCCCCGCTTTGTCTTCCCTCCCTCCCCACCCCGCCGACGCCCCTCCTCACCGCTGGCCCGCGGCAGGGCGAGCAGCGCCAGCGCCCCAAGGAGCCCCACGGAGCGGAGCCAGGCTCCGCGGCGTGGACACGCCCCCATGGCTGCCGCGCGCTGGTCGAGGTGGACTCGGGCTCCTCGGACCCGAAACATCGCCAGCGGTTGCTCTTCTCTGCCGACTGACGCCGAGGTGACTCTATCAGCATTTAACAGACAGCGTCAGGTGCTGGCGCTGGGTGGGACCCGCTCCGGAGGAGTCCGCGTTTATCCCCGAACGGCTCCTCCTGAGGGGCGGGGGAGTGGAGCTCTTCCTGCTGGAGACGGCCCCGCCCTAACATTGACCGTAAATGACGCTCCGCCCTCTGGGAACGTTGTGGGGGAGGGGGAGGGAACCGGAAGCTGCGGGAGGCCTGGGGAAAGCCATTTCCGCTGGTGTCGGAAAGCTGCCGCATTGCCTTATTGGTACAAAGCTCCTCTACACCCCTTACACCTCCCCCCCCCACCCCATGTGTCTGATACAGGCTGGGAGTCTGCGCCGCTTGGTGGCTCCTGAAGCGACCACGCCTGGACCCTCTGGGCTCCTGACGGGGGGCCGCCCTCGAGCAGGCCCCAGGGCACCTCGAGCTTTCTTTTTGTTTCTGGAAACCTCAACAATAGTTTTCCCTTTCCGCCCTTCCTGTTTTCTTGTCTCTTGTGCACTCCGCGCCCAGGCCAGAGGGGTCACCGTGGGGTTCCCTGCCCAAAGGGGGAAAAAAAACCAACAGGAAAATGCGTCACAATTTCCAAGGGCCCGACTGTCTGTTTTTGAGGAAAACATGAGGAGCACCTGTGGCCTGTATCCCTTGGGTGGAAGTTATGATAATTACATTTGACATTCAATTATAGTCACTCAGCCAATAAGCGTTTATTAAGCGCCTACTATGTGCCAGGCACAGTGCTAAGCCCTGGGATGGGAAAAAAGACATTCTCTCAAGGAGCTCATAATTTAATGGAGAAGACAAATGTGTGCAAACAAGGATAACTTGGGAATAATTAACGGAGGGAAGGCACCAAAAATAATAAGGCTTGGGAAGGGTTACCTGTAGAAGATGGGGTTTTAGTTGGGACTTGAAGGAAGTTAAGGGGCAGAGATGAGGAGGGGAAGCCAGAAAAAAATAAAAATACCTGGAGCACCGAGATAGAGTGTCTTTGGTTTGGGAAACAGCAAGAGGGATCGCTTGATTAGAGTGTGTGGCCAGGTGTAAGGTGTCAGAAGATTAGAAAGGGTGAGGGAGGGGGAGGAGGAATAAGGATCAAAAGGAATTTGTTAGAGGATTCTGTACTTGATTCTGGAGGTAACTGCTCCTGGAGTTTAGTGTGTAGGAGGTAGTATGGTAGCCTGGAGGTACTGGAGGGTGGATTGGAGTGGACAGAGTTCTGAGGCAAGTAGACCCACCAGCAAGCTATTGCAATGTCCAAGCATGAGCTGATGGCAGCCTGCACCAGAGTGGCATTTGTGTCAGAGAAGGGGGCATGATTGAGACATGTTACAAAGATGAAATGGATAGGCCTTGGCAGCAGATCAGATATGGAAGGTGAAGGGATAGTGAGGAGTTGGGGATGACTGTAGGTTGCTAGCCTGGGGTACTGGAAGGATGGTGCTGCCCTTGTCAGTAATAGGGAAGTTTGGACTGGGGGAGGGGAAGGGTCTAGGGGAAAAGACAGGTGAGTTTAGTTTTGGACTTGTTGAGTTTAAGATGTCTTAAAGAGGGGGCAGCTAGGTGGTGCAGTGGATAGAGCACCAGCCCTGAAGTCAGGAGGACCCGAGTTCAAATCTGGCCTCAAGCCAAACACTTGACTCTTACTAGCTGTGTGACTCTGGGCAAGTCACTTAACCCCAATTGCCTAAAAATTAAAAAAAAAAATGTCTTAAAGATCATCTAGTTTGAGATAGCCAATAGGCAGTTGGAGATGCAAGAGTAGAGGTCAATCAACAGAGAGGTTAGAGCTAGATGAATAGATTTGAAAGATATCTGCACAGAAATGATAATTGAATCCATGGCAGCTGATGACATCACCTAGTGAAGTAGTATGGAGGGAGAAGAGAAGGCCCAAGAGAGAGCCCTGTGGGATACCAGTGGTTAGAAGGTGTGGCTGGATGAGGATCCGGCAAAGGGGGACTAAGAAGGACCAATTTGATAAGTAGGAAAACCAGGAGAGAGAACCTAAAGAAGCTACCAAGGAAAAGGGGATGTTCCATAGTGAGCAGAGAGAGATCAAGAAAGAGGACTGAGAAAAGGCCATAGGATTTAGCAACTGAGAGATATAACGAAAATGTTTGTTCCCATAAATTTGGAGCAAACAGCTAGAGAAGTAACTAAGTAAAACAGGATACAGTAGGTCTCTTGTTTTGCTAATAGAAGTTAGTTAATCAGAACAAAAGATTCCATAAAATTGAAACAATTGCTAAAAGTAACTAGGTAAAATAGGACAAAGCTGGTCTTATCTTGTTTTACTGATAGAAGTTAGTAAGACAAAGGTTAAGCTTTGCTTAGAGTGCTTAATAGGCTTATAAATATTAGCTTCTCCACCTCCAGGAGGGGCTAAGACACCATTTTCTAAACATGGGATGTATGAAGGAGAGGTGACATGTCAAGGAGTAGATGTGTAATAGATATACCAGAAAGTTGTACACTCCGGAGTACTCAGCCAATGAGGAAACACAGGAGGGACTTTGCAGCCAGGGTTAGAGATAAATATTGAACTCCTGCTTTGGTACAGTGTGTCCTAGTCCATAGGACACCCGAGGTTGCAACTTCATAATAAATTGAGCTTTTAACTTCATCCCTCCTGAGTCCGAATGAGTTATTTCTCACAGCAACTAAGAGATCATTGGTCACTTTGGAGGGAACAGTTTTGGTGGAATGATGAGGTCAGAAACTAGATTGTAAGGGGTCAAGAAGAGAGCAAGAGGAGAGGAAGATGAGGCACCTATTGGAGACAGCTTTCTCAAGGAGTTTAACCACAAAAGGCAGAAGAAATACAGGATGATAGTGGGCATGGAAGAATCAAGTGAACATCCTTTTAGGAGAAGGAGACATGGACACATTTGTAAGCAGTAGGGAAGGGGCCAGTAGACAGGGAGAGATTCAAGATAAGTGATAGAGAGGGGTGACAAAGGGAGACAGGATGGAATAGGAACCCTTGTGCAGGTGGAAGGGTAAGGCTGTCTCTTCATGTGAAATGGGTGAAGGGGGAAATAGTTGCAAAAAAGCTTCTGAGATGAGGAAGAAAGAGCTCACAGTGAATGGCTTCAGTTTTTTTCTGTAAAACATGAGGCCAGGTTCCGAGAAGGTGGGGATAGGCAGAACCATGGAAAGTTTGAGAAGGAATGAAAAGCTTTGGAAGAACCCCTATGGAGAGTGAGTTGATAAGGAAAATATAGTGGGATTGCCTAGCAGCAGTGAGGGCCCAGTGAGGTTGTGTAACATAAATATGTAGTGGACCCAGTCAGAATGGTTGTGTCATTTTCTTCACTTTCATTCAGCAGCAGGTATATAGGAGTGAAGGAACTAAAGATCAGGGAGGTGATCCAAGGCTGAGGCTTGGCTAGGTACATTTGGTGACATAAAGGTACCAGAGACTCAAGAGAAGAGCACAATGTAGAGTTTAACTGGTTGATTAAGGAGTAAAGACAGGGAAAAGAGTAGAGAGTGGCTAGTGCAGGGGTGATAGCTTGAGAGAGAACTGAGGGGTTGAGGGATTGGAGGTCACAATGTGGAGGAAGAGTAGGGTGTGGTAAGGAAAGGCAGAGGGAGAGGTGAATAGCTAATAGATTATGGTCAGTTAAGAGGATTTTGGAATTAACGAATTATTGATTGGAATTATTCAAAATAATTATTCTAATGGAGGTGGTGCATTTGTGACAAAAATCAAGTGTACTACTATCTTTGTGTATGTCTGAGGTGGAGGAGCAGGTCATGGGAAGTGAGTAGGTTGAGGAATTGAATGGTTAGGATATACTACATAATTGTCTCCTTTGATTCTCACAACTGCCCTGTGAGGTAGGTACTGCAGGTGTTTTTATCCTCATTTCAGTGTAACATACTGCCTCTCCTTCCCTGTTTTACATTGATGTAGCTTTGGCCTCTGCATGTTATCTCATTTGTTCCTGCTGGACAGGTATGGCAGGTACTCTAACTTCTGTTTTACAGATGAAGAAGAGAGGCAATAGAGGGTTGGCCCTTACAGTTGGAGGCTGATGCATAACAGAAGTGTGACCACGGGCAAGTTAATTAGCCTTTCAGTATCTCTGGCTGCTCTTTGTGACATGTGCAGGTGATTAACTGATTCTGTTTTGTATATGTTTTGCACTAACTTATCTGGTTGATTGTGTAGGGTCACAAAGAGGGGATTATTTGTCCTCAGTAGTCAGTCAGCAAGCATCTATTAAGTTCTCACTATGTACCGCAGTCACCTAACTAGACATTAAAAAAAAAAAAAGTAAAACCAATCCGTGCCCTCATGGAACATGCATTCTACAAGAAGACACAACATGTGAATCATTAGGTCCATACAAGATGTATTTTAGAGTAATCTGAGAGGGGAACATGGGTTTGGAGGGAGAAAGACCACCAGGAAAGTTCTCCTGCAGAAGGTAGGCTTTGGGCTGTCTTGAAGGAAGCCAAGGGAACTAAGAAGCTGAGGTGAGGACACAGAGCATTTGAGGCCTAGGGGATAGACAGTGCAAAGACATCAAATTGGAAGATGAGTACTGTATTCAGGGAATTGACAGGCCAATGTAATGAAATCATAGAATGCCTAGAGGACAGCAAGATATAAAAAGACTGGAAAGGTAGGATTATGAAGAGGTTTGAATGCCAGAAGACTTTATATTTGGTCTGGTGATAGATATATATGTGATCTGGTGATCACAGGATCTTACTGAGTAAGGGGATGTAACATGGTCAGACGTTTGATTTAGAATAATGACCTTGGCAACTGTGTGGAATGGAGAGAGACTTAAGGCAGGGATAGCCATTCAAATGTAAGCTCTTTGTGATCAGGGACTGTTTCATTTTTATCTTTGTATCGTCAGGGGTCTAGAATGCCACTTTCTCCCAAGATAAGCATCACACAGAGGGCAATGGAATAGTGGATATAGGCAAGTTATAACATAACCAGCAAGGAATTTTAAAGAACAGGAGCAAAGTATGTCATCAAAGAAATATATGACAGAAAGAAAAGATGGGCTGGTTATATGGAGAGAGCAAAGGATGCCAGGTATACATCCAGATAACTCCATTAATAAATTGAGAATGTCACAAATATCGAAGACGGCTTC